AAACCAAGTGAAGGCTGGCCCTGATAGTGACAAGGAGAAGAAACGAACTCGATGGGCCTCTTCAACGGATGCTTTGCCCAATTGTGTAAGATACCGACTGACATGTTTTATTGTGCTTGTGTTGTCTTGGCCAGTGAACTTAGTAAACTCTGGGAGTCTGTAATTTGTAGGAAGAGCGACCAAATTGTACCATTCTAGATATGGGAGTTTGTACGAGAAGGTCTGCCCTTTCGGCTTTAAACCGAACTGATTCTTCATCATCTCGGTTACTCTCAGCAACAACTCATCAGCATTTGAATTTGAATTTCTCTGCACCTGCTAACCTATTTGTGGATTAAAATTCTGGGTACCTTGGTAGCCTGGATTTGGAATCATGTGAAGAGTATTATAATATGTGCCATAATGATATCCTTCTAGAATCTCTATCTGCTGGGTCCTTTGCTGGTTTGCTGCTTGAAGTCTCTGGTTATAGATATTAGGATCTATATCTCTACGGATCCTTTGAATTGATTGTGCTATTTTTTGAGCCGACGACGGTATGTGTCCTGATGTGCCAAAATTAATAATCTGGTTCTGATCTTGCCCCACCAGCTGTTGCACATGCTGCACTGACGATCCAGGATTATTCTGTATCTGATTCGTAGTAGCACCTTGAACTTGCTTAGATGAACTATGAACTACCTGGACATCATCATTACCAGCTAGTGCTGCTTTTTGATGGCTATTACCGGCTTGATTAATCCCCTGAGTCGACGGATGTGGAATATTGTAATAAACCGGACCAACCTGATTAACTAAAAACTCGTGAAACACCTCTTTCATGGTGTTATGGAATATGTTCAATAAGACTTCATTATGGTTCGATATGGCATCATGAACAGATTTATTTACAGTTTCCACGAAGAAACGTCTGTCTTCTGCTTCATCTGTATCTGTCTGTCCATGCAACAGAACTCTTGGTAGTGGATATTTCCGAACAATTGTATTGTCACGTGTCTTGGTGTAGAATAACAAACACTTATTCTAAAATTTTTATATAACTTTGCTGATGACATCTTTATCTCCATCAGGTAGGTCTTCATAAGGCACCATAAGAATGTCGTTGTTGTTGTAAGCCGCCATGACGATTGTGGGGTCCCACCGGACGTGCCAGAACGCGTGTCAGCACGAAAATGTGTCGACACGTAGCAAGCCGAAAGGGTCTGCTCGATGGAGCTGGAGATCCGCATGGCTTCAACACAGGGATAATCGATCCTGCGTATTTCTCTCGAGACGTGCCAGTCAATTTGACCCTGCAATTGACAAGGAGAGAGTTTATCAGTAATTTAAGGTGGATCATGCCGGTCTGTGCCCAGACAGTTCCAAGTGTGCCGCTTCGGGATCAGCCATATGGGAAGAGCGATTAAATAGCCGATACGCACAAAAATCGACTGTTACGGACTGTAAAGCTCGTGGGTACCGATTGATTTTATGTTGATAGGTACAATACACGTATATGTAAATGAGATCATCAGCTAGGTAGATATTACCAATATAAATTATTGAGCCAATGAATTTAACGATAAAGGATATAGCACGCTAACAAATAGACTATCTAATATAAATGGATCTACAGACGCTCTGAATCTCATCTGTTACCATCAACAGTGAGGTTCGACCGGATTGATGGCAGCTATGATGATAATAACAAACTAAAATCGAAGAATCCATAAATCCAACTATACTTCGACAGGCTTTCTGAAAGACATGTTATACGTGAAGGCCCGTATGAATCAGCTAAAATAGCCAATTCTGGTGAAGAGGACTACAACGTGTGAACAATCGATTATTTCACGTGGACAGACCTATGGACTCATCAGACCTAACGTGTTATCTCTAACAGTGGAGTTCGACCGAATCGATGCAGCCGTGATAAAGACTACAAATCAAACATTTAAAGTAAACAGATCTATTCGTGTTCAACAGAATCATGTAAACATGATGTAGGCGTTAACGCACAAACGATCGGCTATTTAGCCGATGCAGGCATAGCAAACAGTTAAGGTCACCCCTAATCAAGAACAAATCTACTAGCTAGCATCCTTCAATCTACAGTGCTATCAGTAGGGATCGACCGGATCGTTACAGCCATAATAATGAACCGTAGACCAGATTTAACTAACCAGCAAACCTCTCCAAGATTATTCATGTCTTAACCGCGTACTATGCGTGATCAAGATCGAAGTAAAACAGCCGATGAAACATAAACTGTCGCTCAAGGTAGACAATATCGTGTTGTAACAAAACGAACGACGAATCTAAAGGATATGAGGCCAATCTAAATCGATCTTGACCAGGCAGATTGATGTTGCTGCAGACTAATGACAATGAAAAACATCAGCAAGATCGATAACTTAACGAATCTATCAAAGATTGCCACCCTTAGGTAGAGCCGATAACTTGACCTTAATCTAATTCGAGCAGTGGAGATCGACCGGATCGATACAGCCGTACTTGAACTAGACAAGAGTCGAAAACTAGCTTATACCAGAGTCGCAGTGGAGATCGACCAGATCGATGCAGCTGTATGAACAAAAGTATAAGCCATGACGGTACTTACAGACAAGCCGGAGGTCGGCCGGACCGATGCAGCCCTGCTCGCTGAAGAACTCGTCGAGATCTACTCTACTCCTACTCCTAAGGGGTGGCCGGAGCCGAAAAAGTAAGTAACTTATATTTAATTGATTGTGTGTCTTTACAATAGCCGGGGTCCAATATTTATAACCGGAGCTTAAACATGAATCCTACTCAGGTATAACTCATTATAATCTTTGGTATAAAAGAGAACATTCCTAATTTAAGATAACTTGGACCCTAATTTTTTTCTTTTTTAAGTCCGATATGTATTTTCGGACATCAACCGTAGCTCATTATCATTATCTGCTGACGTTATTCAAAGAGAGCCGATTTTAGTGTCTCCTCTGAATCAGCTGATATCGATATTTATGCAATCGAGTCATTGATCGACACAATTTTGAAAGCTTTGAGTTTTCACGTTTTTCTCTAAATTTTGGTGTAAACACGACGTATCTTGGTTCAACGTTGCCGTGGTATAATTTGCCTCTCTGGGGACCGGGAGCTGAGATGCGTTTTCGTGTGGCGGCTGTTCTCGCCCGATCTTGAACGGTGGATTCTTTCTTCGTTCGCGCACTGTGTTGGGTTCTGCAGTATTTATTGTAATTACAATTATAGATGCAAGTTGCGTGATCACGGAATCTTGAATGGTAGGTGAACTTCAACAGTCACGTGACAATCTAGTTACAGTTTGCTGGAGGTGTCAGGTTGAGGGGATCGGTTCTTGGTAGAGGCTTTTAACCGTGTGTCATTATAAAAATTAGTAATTATTTATAAATTATTAAAAAATAGAGTTCTCACACAGGTGTCACTGCTCTGAACTTTTTTTGCCCTACACACTACTTCCGTCAGATTTAACACTAACGTTGTCAAACTGCGGACATAAAAAGTCAAAAATATCCTTAGGTTTGAATATGTAATTAATTTTTTTTAGCATCTTAACGATCTCAAATGAAAAATCTCAAAACTAAAAGTTACAGATCTCATCGAGATCTACAATATTTATATAAAAATTATTTTCATTTGATTCTGTATAAAAATATGATTTTTTAAGACATATTAATCATATCAAATCATTTTTTTATGGAATTAAATGAAAGATAACTTTTTTACAAAAATTATAGATATTATCGAGATCTATAACTTTTTAGTTTTGAGTTATTTTATTTGAGGTCATTAACATGCTCAAAAAAATTAATTGCGTATTCAGACTTAAGGGTATTTTTGACTTTTCACACCCACAATTTGACACCGTCGGGGCTAAATCTAACGGAAGTGGCATGAAAGGCAAAAGAGTTCAAAACAGTGACACCTGTGAGAACTTAACTTTTTTAGTGACTTGTATGTAATTACCAACTTTTATAATGAGCGCACTGGTAAAAACCTCTTCTTTGTAACCCGTAACTCATTCTTTGTTCTTGGCAGTATTGTGACTTCAAGGGTCTGTATGACAAGAAAGGTTTACGAAAGTGGTTGGTTTCTTTGTTCTTGAGATTGAATGTGGTAGAAACATGCTCCATTGGTAAATTAGACGGAACCTCTGATAAAATATGAACTGGAACAAGATTGCAGCGTCTTGATTGATGTGATCATCATGTGTAGCAGTCTGAGCTTCGATGAAAGGAGATCCCCATTCAGTATTCTATCTTAGATGACTACTGTCTCTCTTTGGTGAACTCCCTGTATTCCGAATTTCCCATGCACATGCTACCTTGTTACTAGATAAATTGATAAACCAGACCTACTATTATGTACAACGGAACAAAGGGGGGGGGGGGGGGTTGGAAGTACCAGGTGAAGTATTATGTTGGGACAAAATTGGGTGCATACAGCATCCACCGAGACTCCATGCATAGTGCTCCTCAACAGGTGACACGTGTGCGTGCGTATCAGAGACTCCTCCGCTCGGCTTGAGTCATGACGTCAGCCGATGCACGAGCGACTAAAACAACGTGGAGAGGCGCTTGACAACAAACGTAGGATCTGCAGGCTCTCCACGCCTCCTCCATCGGAAAGGGGTATGTACGGAGTTCGGGTGGATGCTGTATCCACCCAATTTTTTTCCATTATGTTACAGCAAACTACTCCTTTTGGGAAGGAAGTTATGTATTACAGCTTAGCAAACATTCCCAGCAACCTTGATATCAACTTATAACTGTCTGCTAGTTTGGCTGATAGTTGGAATTTTTCTTTCAGAAGTGTCTTGTATGTGCATCACATTTAACACTGGTAGCTAAGAATTGCCATCATGAAACTTTGCTTGTTGTCACTGTTTGAAAGAATTATAGTCCAAATCAATTATTGTCATGCTTTGAACCTGCGCTTATAAAGAGTCCTGTTCCTCTATATCACTATGAATATTAAGTAGCCTTCTAATATTTAAAACTATGTTGGAGCTTCCAGACAAGAAGAGCAGAGTTTCGTGGTTCTGGATTGATTGGATCCTTCCGAACAATCTATCGGACAGAAGGTCTTTTAGGGTTTTACAGGTTTGCCTCTTCCTAATTTGCATGACAAATGGTAGTCTATTAATACCATGTTGCACACTTGAGCTTGACTTTTGAATTGTCTTTCCTTAGGGGAAATGGAGCTAGTGTTGCTCGAATTGTTCCTTATGCAGCTTTGCATTATATGGCATATGAAGAATACCGCCGGTGGATCATTCTTGGCTTTCCTAATGTCAAGCAAGGGCCTGTTCTTGATCTCGTGGCCGGATCGATAGCTGGAGGAACAGCTGTCATATGCACATATCCTCTTGATCTAGGTTGGCATCCTTCGCTGAACTGGAAAACCACACTTCTGTTGGATTTCAAGTCACATTTGCTGTACTGTGTATCAACATATTCTCTGAAAAAGGATATGATTAGCATAATTTACTTATGAACATATGTCCCATTTGATTGTTTATACCTTTGTAATTAGTTGTCCTCTTTGCAGGTAAAAGGTGCAGTGAATGTGGGTTTCAGAGAATCTAAGCCCTCTGAACAGGTTTATAAAGGGATCATGGATTGTGTCAAAACAATATACAGACAGAATGGATTGAAAGGCATATACCGTGGCATGGGTATGCATGTATTTGCATCTCACTCTTTTCTCAAGGCCAGTTTCTGATATACACCCAGCTGTTAACTAAAATGTATTGCTCTTCAGTTCCTTCACTATATGGAATCTTCCCTTACTCTGGTCTTAAATTCTACTTCTACGAGAAGATGAAGAGCCACGTTCCTGAAGAACACAGAAAAGATATCATAGCAAAGCTTGGTTGCGGATCAGTTGCAGGTTTGCTAGGTCAGACAATAACATACCCCCTGGATGTTGTTAGGCGGCAAATGCAGGTATTGTTTTGCTCATAGCATGTGGCCATAAAGCATTTATATGTTCTAAATAATATGTGGCGCATCATTTTCAGGTTCAAGCACTTTCATCATCCAGCCTTGTGGGTAAAGGAACATTTGAAAGCCTGGTTATGATTGCGAAACAGCAAGGTTGGCGACAACTATTCTCAGGAGTATCTATCAACTATTTAAAGGTGAGATATTTCCTTTACTGTTCCAGTAAAAGTTTATTTAGTTGTTTTTTTTCTTTCTAATTTTGGCTGCTAGACGAATGTGACAGGTAAGCAGAACCTGTTAAAACAGTGCAATTCCCATGGTCTTGACTGTAGAACTTGACTTTGGCTGAAGTTCTGATTTGTATTGTCCCTGGTCTCCAAAGTTATTTCTTCATTTAAGAACTTGCCTTTTGATGTCAATTAATTAATTAATTTAGCTGAATAATGGAGTTGTTAGAATGTTTTACCAAGGCCTGTGGTTCTTGTTGTGTGATCATTATTTACTAGTACTGCTATTTTATTTTGGACACATCTGCATGTTTTCCTTTCAGTTCTGTGCTGCTGGCATAAAAGAAAAAAAGAGTGGCTTACATGGTCTGCATATATTGATGATATAGTTATGACTTATGAGTACTGCATATATAATGTTTATCTCTCATTATTAATTAAGTCAGTAAAGTAAATATGCTGAATTTAATGTTCATAATATACGTCTTACACTTGCTCGGCTTGTTCAGCTTCTTTTTTTCAGCCGGAACAGTGTTTTTCTCTCACAACAATTCAACCACGAACAGTATTTTTCAGCCAGTTTCAGCCAAAATTCAGCAAGCCGAACGAGGCCTTAGGCTAAAAGTTCCATCAAGGGAGGACACTGCTGTTGCTGTCTTGACAGAAGAATGAAGTAATACAGCTCCTTTCTGCCTTACCATTCATAAGGCGTGTAGCATAGCATTCTTTGTTGGAGCTGCATCACCCATAGCTACTAGTCTTCTCCAATGCATTGGAGACAATAATTCGACCATCAATAAGCGCATAAGCAAGTCGTCGATGCCAAGAAAAACCTTGGCATTTAACAGGAGGAATAGAATTCCAGGCGGATTAGCATTTCTCTGTGGAATTCCACCCTGTACAGACTCTGTATATAGCTGAATAGCTTGTGTCAAACAGAGAAGCTCTTGGAGAAAGTCAGAATTCAGAGCAAACATGCTCATGTTCATGCTTTGGATCTCCTACTGTCATACTAGGTAGCTTCTTACAGTAGGTTCGAGCCTGCAGGTTTCGACGTGTATGCGTCCCCCTTTTGCAATGAGTACAAAGAATCTATGCCTAGCGTTCCCCACCCTGTTGGATTCTTGCGGGTTGCACAACACGGCATCTAGGATTTTGGCCAGATTCTCGCAAATTTCAGATTCCTTACCTCTAGTATGATCTAGCCTGTACTGGTTCTCTGGATTCTTTCCTGTACTGGTTCTCTGGATTCTTTCCAAATCGAATTCACATTCACATTTTACAGTTGAAGTTTGTAGGAATGTACAGTACTATCCAGTTAACTTGGGTAAGGAAAGCTTGTGTTCTGCTCCACTATTTACGATTGAAGAAAAAAGGGCAAGGTTTCAGCTTTGCAGCCTGTGGACTTCAGATATTGTATGCTTGACATATGATAAACAAAACTGCCTTTGCATTACTTGAGAGGTTCATCTCAAAAACCTTCTGTGACCATCGCTTGAGGCTTGTTAAAATCGTAAAGTTGTTCACGCGAGAAGGAACGGTAAAGTTCTTTTAGTACAAGACGTACAGTACTGGTATGTACCAACTACAGCAGTGGGTGATCATTCGCGTCACGCGGAAGGCTCTCTGCATATCCCAGAACCTCAGTTTTGCATTGCCATGTGTAGGACCTCGATGCTTCACTTGCATAAGCCACCAAGTAATATCTTCAATCGCAAGATAAATATATCTATATTTTTCTTCAGTTAAACATTTTTCCCATTTTATTTTTGACAGTTAGAAAATGGTACTCTGTTGTCTCAAAAAGTAGTTCGTTTTAGCTTAGGTATATAATTTTTGTTACGCACCTTAATGTTGTTTAGATACATAGTATATACTCTCTCTGTTTATGAGAGAATGTAATTCTAGTACGGTACCAAGTTAAAGTACATTGAATTTGACTAAATATATATATATATATATTTATAATTATAATATTTGTATCTATATATTTAGTCAAACTTTAAACATATTAACCAAAAATACACATATGGTTTTGTGACAAAGGTAGTATTTATAAAAGTCAAAATAATCTATAATTTAGAATAGGGGTAGTATAAATTGATTGATGACACATGGGGTGATGTTGTAAGGAACCTAAAGGAATAAGGGAGGGGGATTAAAAGAATTAGAGGTCAACCACATAAAAAAATCATTCAATAGTTAGGGCTGGTTTGACGCGGCTTCTCCTCAAATGCTCCTTTCAAGAAGATGGAGTACCTAGGACGAGGAGTCACTTTTTGCAACTCTCGGCAAAAAAACGACTCGGGCTCTTTCAGTATCAGAAAATAACCCATCCTCCTAAAATATTTGGTACGGCTCCCTCTCAGAAGATGCTATCGAAGCCGGAGTTCGAATAGGCCTTTAATCCGGACGTGCAATGCTACCCATGTTTAATCTTTTAGAAGTCTGCGCCCTTCTACCAATTCTATTCTATAAAACCATACATGGGAATCAAGAAAAAAGATAGTACTCTGTCATGCTTTTTTTTCCGCCTTCGCTGCGTTCTGTTTTAGGTGTTTGTTCACCAAAGTTTATCTTTTTGCATCTTCGGAGTTAAACCTTCGCACTAGCAAACATTGTTTGTTGTAATAACTGTCGCTCTGTATTTCAGCACTACTTCAACGATACTTTTCAGCGAAAGAATAGTGTTTTCTCTCACGATAAATCAGCATCAGCAGCCGCCTAATTTCGGTTAATCACCAAAACTGTATTAGAGGGTCGTTGATTTCTTCCGTTACTGGTTTACGACGCGAGAGAGTACTCCTAGATGGCTAATCGTATATGACTATAGCTAATCACATCTCCTGTTTCAGAGCTAATCGTAGATTACTATAATCACATCTCCAAACATCAATATCTGACAAATTGCATCACGGGCAACACATGTTTTATATTAAAAAATGAATACTGTACAGTGTGCGGAAAGGCAACAATAATTTTTCTCGTGCAGTGCAGCCGCAGCAGAGGGCCTGGGAACCAGTAAATAATCCACGATACGGCCTCCCTCGACATGCTGCAAATATCTGACAAATTGCATCACGGGCAACACATGTTTTATATTAAAAAATGAATACTGTACAGTGCGCGGAAAGGCAACAATAATAATGTATGCGTGCAGTGCAGGCGCAGCAGAGGGCCTGGGATCAGTGCAGTGAGCGATGGAGGGGTCAGTCTACGGCCCATAGGCTACTGCCTTGCACCTTCTTGCAGTGGATTATGTGCATTGTGCAGTGGCGGGGGCAGGCGTAGGCGTGCAGCCCTAAAATGGCCTGGGTACACGAGACACACCCACCACTTCGCATCAGCTGCGGTAAAAAATGGAAACGGTAACAAGTTCGGGTTTGGTCGGTGGTTGATTCCATCTGAAATCGGGAAAGGGTACTAGTTTTTTCCCCATTTTGTTCATTTTCTGGACTTATTGTTGCTGATTCCGGTTTCAAAAGAAGGCAAGAAATAGGCAAAGGAGGCGCCCCGCCTCCATACAGAACAGCACGAAACCACGGTACGTATCCTCTGGTGTGTCTTCCCAAGGGTAGAACAGTAAAATTACACTTACTACTTCGTGGTTGCTGCAAAAAAAAAAATCAAACCTAACTCTATCTTTAGTCAAACTATTTAGAACTTTATCAAACTAGCATCAATATTTATGACACTAAATAGGTGTATTATAAAATATTTCATAATAAATCTATTGCTACTTATTTTGTATGGTATTATTAATATATTTGTTTATATAAATGTATTATTAGTCGAAACAACTGTTCGGCTGATGGTTTCTACGGCTGAGAAGCCGGCTGAAGTTGATTTACTATGACAGAAAACATTATACCGTGACTGATAAGTCTGATAAGTTCAAATAAACATGACCTTAATACGATAACACTGGTGTTAGAATAGTCCGGAGTGCAGAGGAGGCCAAGGGAAAGCGGACAAGCCGGATTCCTTGGGTTCGGCCGTTCGGGGCTCGCTCAACAAGAGAATTGAAGCGTCCCTCTCCCTCCGTCCGTAGCCAAACCTTTCATTGTTGCAATGCAACACAGTGCCTCTTTTCAGTTTTCAGTGCCCCCTTTTCCCCATGCATGCTGCTACAGTGACATGCCATGCCTATGGTTGTACACGAGGCCCATGACTACCTTCTGTTCTTCACGTTAGAAATCTTCGGCTATTGCCCATTGCGTGCAAAAGCACCCGACCAGTTCGTTCCACGGAAGATGCATCATGCATGCTCCATTCTCTCGTAAGCGAGCCAACTACTGGTTGGAAGGGTTCTTTGCCGTTTCTCTCGTCCCAACTATTAGCTCATCATTATTAATATATGGTCGATTTGTTTATCTCATAGAGTTTTTGTTTTTTATCTGAGCCGGATGTAAGCTCACATATACCGCTTCTCTTTTCTCTCTTCTCCATCTTAGCATTTAGCCAACTTATAACCTCTTATTATACTTGCTCTAAGCTAGTTGATCATTGAACATACATATACATACGAGTCAGAGCAAGAGTAATAATAGGGCGGCTATAGGTTAAGTTATTGAGACTGTTTCGCGGGTTGGTTTCTGGGTTGATAAGTCCTAGGTTGATGTTGATTTGTTGTGAGAGAAAAACATTATTGACTGACTGATAAGATCTGTATCCTCTATTTGTCTTAAAAAATATCATTTGTGTAGCAGGGTAGGAAGTATCGTTACATGAATCACTGTATATTTTTGTATGTAATTTATTGCCAATCTATAATTGGGAGTATTAGCCTGTTCGATTGGCTGAGTTCATTTCGTTGATGGTTCGATTCAAAAAAAATACTATCGGTTAATTTATACGAGAAAAAAATAATATTTCGACTAAAACTTTACGATCATTTACGACGAGCCACGGCTAAACGACCAGGCTATACTCCGTATATAGAAACAGCTAGCTACCTACTACTCCTCGTAGGAGTAGGCATCTGTTGCAGGCTTGCTGTTGCTGTGCAAGTGTGCATGATGAGGTCAGTCACAGACAGGGTCCATCTCTCTCTCTGTGATACCAGTACTGCTCATCCTTCCTTGCTTCTCCGGTCCCACCGTCTTCAATGGCTAGTCTGCCAGAAATCTACTCGCTAGATTTTGCTGACATCATCGATCATGTCCATGCCTGTACAGTACTAATCTTTTTTACTACGAGCATGGTACTACTGCTACCCGTTGTACGGAGTAGCCTTCAGGGTCGACGTCGATGCAGAGCAATGCAATTCTGCATTCCCTTTTCTTCCACAGTCGTCCACGCTACGCTCCAGGGGTATCCATCGGGGTGGAACAAGGCAGGTTTAGATCGCAAAAAATTTCAACCCGATGAATAGTAACACTTTCGTCTTATTTAGTAAATATTGTCCAATCGTGGATCAACTAAGCTCAAAAGATTCATCTCGTGATTTCCAACTAAATTGTACAATTAGTTATTTTTTTACCTACATTTAATGCTCTATACAAATAGCTAAAAATTGATGTGATGAAAAGAGAGTGAAAAAACTTAAATTTTGAGGGTATCTAAACAAGGACCAAGAAACGGAACAAGAACAACCTCATCTTTCCATCCAACAGTTCTCCGTAAACTCTTTTTTTTTTTCCTCTGAGGTGTTTGGGACTTTGGGTCGAGAAGCATGTGAAGGTCAGAAGGTGACCTGTCTGCCACCTTCTCACGCTGCTGTAGCCCTCGTACTGTTGTTTTGTCCCGGAAAGACCATCGTTCTATATGATCGGGCACGTTTACCAAGATCAGTGATAAATTACAATATTGCCCCTGTAAATATGCAATTGCTCCCAATCTTCTGTCGCCTCCCACCGTTGTCTTAGCTCTCGAATCTTCTCCGTTCTTCCGCGTGCGTTTGATTCACCGGCCGCTCCCCGAGGTTCGTCGCACCTCCTTCCTTCTCTTCCGTAGCCCGATTCCATCGGGCCTCTCGACACCATCCCCGCGCCCCTCCCCATCCCTCTCTACGGCCTCTACCATCGCAGTCGCAGCGCCGCGCCGCCGCCGGGCTGGCCACGCTACGCCCCTGTGCGCCGACAGGCTGGCTGCGCCGAGCCCCGCGGGTCGCTGGGCTGGCCGCGCTGCGCCCCCGGGCAGAGTGGGGACG